CAGTGTCCCACTGCTCCCTGCAGCAGGGAGGGAGGGAAGGAGGAGGGCGGGTGGGCGCAGATGCCTGAAGGTGTTTAAAGCCAAGAGGAAGGGGGCGCCAGAAGGCATGGCCAGAGGACGCGGTGGGCAGGGTCGTCTTCTGAGAGGGGCAGGGTGCACACAACAGCAGCAGCACAGGGCAGGGACCCTGCGGAGCAGCAGGGGCACGTGCGTGAAAGGTGCTCCCCAGGAACAGGAGGCCCTCACTGGGCACAGGGGCACGCACCCTTCATCCTAGCTACATGGGAGGCTGAGGCGGGAAGACTATAAACATTCGAGGCCAGGCCAGTTTAAGCAACCCAGCAAGACCCTGTCTCAAAATATTTCTAAAAGGCTGAGAGTATAATTTAGCACTGTTAAGAGTTCAATCCCCAGTATAGAAGAGAGAAGGAGGGGGAGAGAGAGAATTGCAGAGGGAGGGAGAGAGGGAATTGCAGAGGGAGGGAGGAAGGGAGGGAAAGAAGGAAGGATTTCTGGTCCCTCTTCACCAGTGTCCCATCTCCCAGCATCATAGAGGAAGCAGGAAAAAAAACACTGGAAGCACAGGTGGCTCTTGCCAAAGTGGGGACAGCTGCCTAGGCCAGACATAGAGCTGCTGGGGGAGTGTCCCCAGGAGCAGAAGGCACGGAGCACCGACAGTGTGGCATCATGGCTATTTCCAGTCATCAGCGCCCAGCAGGTACCTCACCATCAGCAGCCAGTGAGCCCCCCTGCCGGGAGCACTGGCCTCCCTCAAGGGGCTTGGGACACTGCCGTACCACCGTCCAGAGAAGCCCTCAGCTGCCACACGGCCCTCTCTACCAGGCAGGAGCTACCAGGAAGCACCCATGGTCCCCACAGCACACAGCCCGGGGACGGCCACCAGGCAGCCACCACATTCACACATTCACTAAGTCTCAGAAAAGCTTTTGCTAAGCCCCTCTTGGTGCTGCCCCAAGCCACAGCCCACCCCCCAGGATCCCAGAAGCAGGCAGCACGCTGGCTCTGCTCAGCGCTCCAGGCAGGTAGCCCTGCTCAGGGACAGCGCCAGGCCCACCCTCATCCCTTCCCCAGGCTGGCCCTCGTCCCTTCCCCAGGCCGACCCTCATCCCCTCCCCAGCCGACCCTCGTCCCTTCCCCAGCCCGACCCTCGTCCCTTCCCCAGCTGACCCTTGTCCCTTCCCCAGGCCGACCCTCGTCCCCTCCCCAGGCCGACCCTCGTCCCTTCCCCAGGCCGGCCCTCGTCCCTTCCCCAGCCGTCCCTCGTCCCTTCCCCAGCCGACCCTCGTCCCTTCCCCAGCCCGACCCTCATCCCTTCTCCAGCCGACCCTCGTCCCTTCCCCAGCCCAACCCTCGTCCCTTCTCCAGCTGACCCTTGTCCCTTCCCCAGGCCGACCCTCGTCCCTTCCCCAGGCCGACCCTCGTCCCTTCCCCAGGCCGGCCCTCGTCCCTTCCCCAGCCCGGCCCTCGTCCCTTCCCCAGCCGTCCCTCATCCCTTCCCCAGGCCGACCCTCATCCCTTCCCCAGCTGTCCCTCATCCCTTCCCCAGCCCGACCCTCATCCCTTCTCCAGCTGACCCTCATCCCTTCCCCAGGCCGACCCTCGTTCCTTCCCCAGGCTGACCCTCGTCCCTTCCCCAGGCCGACCCTCATCCCTTCCCCAGCCCGACCCTCATCCCTTCTCCAGCTGACCCTAGTTCCTTCCCCAGGCCGACCCTTGTCCCTTCCCCAGGCCGACCCTCATCCCTTCCCCAGGCCGGCCCTCGTCCCTTCCCCAGGCCGGCCCTCGTCCCTTCCCCAGGCCAATCCCAATGCAATGCTCTTTTACTGCAGTCATAAATGAATGGCTGTCTGAGATGGCATCAAAATAAGATTAGACCCCTGAAAATCAGACAATGAGCCCCTGCCACGCAAGCCCACCCAGCCTCAGCCAGCACCAAGCAGAGCCCACCGGGGTGAGTGGCAGTGGCCCCACGTTCCTCTGCAGAGCCTGGTGGGCTGCGAGCCCCATTTCCAGCCAGGCACCCCACGCATGTGGGACACTGGCGAGCGGGTCCCAGGGCACATGTGCAGTCAGCACTCTCCAGCCCCATTTCTAGGGCCCCCCATCTTAGACCCAACAACAGCAGCAGGAATGGGCCACAGCTTCGCAGGCACCCTGGCCGGGCCCAGAGCCGTCTCACATGCCCACTGGGAGGGCAAGCAGGCAGCTTCTGGAAATGAGCACTTCAGGATGCAGAGCCAAGACCTCCACCCTACTGCGCCTCTCAACACACAACTGCTCTCCCAGGGGCCCATCTGGGCACCAAGCTTCCCTCCCTGGACCCCAGGGATGACAGGGCAGGCCACGGGGACCTCCCGCAGTGAACCAGAGCAGTCCACGGGAATCACAGGAGCTCCGCAGATACCTGCTGGCAAGTCACAAAGGGACAGACACAGACACACCTCAGCCACAAGACTCCAGGTCAGGAGGACCGGCAGTACAGTACAGGGCCCATACAGGGGCTTGGAGAGCGTTTAAAGCTAGGGGATCTGCAGCAGACCGAACCAGAGGGCTCCCAGCTTGTTCCCACTCACAGAGAACCACTCACGTCTCATCTCTAGAGAGACCGGAGAAAGGCAGGTGATGGTGGAAATGACCATCCCGGACCACCTAAGAAATTCAGTAACTCGCCTGATATCTAAGTTGAACCCAATAATGCTGTGATGGGCAACTTGCGTGGGCTGGGAGTCAAGCAGGGACTGGTAATGTGCACACCACGCGCACCCAGGGGTCATGGAGGTCTAACTGCCCTCTCTGCTCCCTGGCCCCTTGCTCCCTGGCACTGCCCCCTGCCCTGCTTCCTGGCCATGGGGAGCTAAGCACCCTGGCTCTTCCTCACCCTCCCACCGTGATGCCCCTGTCCTGCTGCCAGCCCTTCCCAACAGGAAAGCTAACACAGAAACCAAAACAAGGAGTGGGGTCACCGCCGCGATTCTGCCTGACCACCTGCTTCAGAAGCCTGTGGAACAGGATAGCAGGAGGAGTTCGGAAAGGTTTAGAGATGCTGGCAAGAGAAGCCCTCGAATGCCATAAGCAGAGACTGTCCCCTGGCCAACTGCCCCCAGCAGGGGACAGCCTGGGAGAGCAGCAAAGCACAGCTCCGGGCGTGTCCGGCGGGCCACAGGGGTGGGGCGTTGGGTGCTGCCCACGGTCACGCTCCCTCTGTGGCACTGTCCCTGCTCTGCTCCCAGCTGCCATGAACTGAGCATCCCTGCTCACCACGCCCACTCCCACGAGGCTCCTCTCTGGGAACCAGACAACCACAGACTGAATCCCCAGCACGGAGAGCCCAGCTCAGCCCCTCCTCCTGGAGGCTGTGGACGTCAGGTGTCGGCGCCAGGAAGGCTGAGCAACACAAACCCATGCGCAGGCCCGGGCGGAGTGCCGCGCCCCGTGGGGACAACACCACACACACTTATTCTCCCTGGAGCTGAGCTGCGCTTCCCCCAGGTCTCCAGCGTCTCCCCCAGAGCCACACCCTCACACATCAGTGCTCTGCGTGTCACCACCCACACTCCACCCCAGGGCTGGGCATAGAGCTTGCCCCTCAAAGAGCAGGCTCCACAGCGCCAGGAACCCCAGGGATTCTGTAGGGAGAAGCCAGGGGGTCCTCGCTCCTGGCCTCGTCTGGGCAGCCTCACAAACGGCCTCTGGAGGTGCCCAGCGTGCTAACGCCGGCTAGGCCAGATACCTGGGACAAACAGCGTACAGGGAGGGAAGATCTGCTTTGGCGCTTGGGTTCGGAGCTCCCTGCAGGCACAGGACCTGATGCTCTGGGACCGTGGAAGCAGTGCATCCTGGCAGGGGCACAGCGGAGAAGCTGCTCGCTTCCAGGGGCCAGGCAAGAGCAGGAAGGGGCCAAGGTCCCGATGTCCCTGTCAAGAGCACGGCCCCAGGGATCCAACTCCCACTACGCCCAGCCTCCTGTGAGTCGCACCAGCTCCGCACAGGACCACAGGCTGGGCACACGGCACACGGGGGACACCCCAGATCCACACACAGCACCACACTGTGGACTGTGTAGCAGAAGCAGGGGCACAGGACCACAGGCTGGGCACACGGCACACGGGGGACACCCCAGATCCACACACAGCACCACACTGTGGACTGTGTAGCAGAAGCAGGGGCACAGCACACACCCACAGCGGCCCCTCAGCCACACCGGGGTGCTCCACTTCCACCCTCACTCTGAGGGCCAGGCCACGACCGAGCCCTTGGTCTTTCACGCGAAGCTCAGTTTTCAAAAACTGTCAAGTCTCTGGGGACCACTGTTCATTGCAGGGTTGTGCCTAGCGCAGGAAGACAAATCAACCCAACTGGATGAACAACCCACGGGTGAACCACACGGTGGAGCCTCAGCCTCCAAAACAAAGGGGCCTGAGACGCAGCCGCGGCACTGGGCATGGATGACGGGACACTGCACGATGCAAATGGCGCTGTTCGTCTATGGGGGACACGCAGAGGTCACATCAGAGACAGACGGCAGAGCAGGGGCTCTGGGGCTGAGGGTGCAGGTGGGGATGGGGTCTCGTGGACACAGAGTTTCAGTTTAAAAGGAAAACACCCTGGAGAGAGGTGGTGGTGAAGGCTGTGTAATGTAACCCTCAATTTTAAAAGTGCTAACGATGGAGTGGCTGTTGCCACAGCACAGGAAAAGTGAGATCCGAAGACACTGGCTTCTTGGCCTTGCGCTAAGAGAGAGCTGAGTTTCATAAAAGCCTTTCCCAAGGAAAGGCAACAAAGGTGCTCGGGCAGTGACACATTCCTCAGGAAGGGGCTGAGAACAGAGACCACCGCCGCCTCCCCCTATCCAAGAAGAGCCCCAGCAGCAGCACACGGGCCCCTTCTGCCCACTGGGGGCCATGGGGATTCCAAGTCCTTCGAGGTTGGATCCTGAGCTCGCCTGACCTGCAGAGTGGAGAGAATGAAAGGGCCCTTACCCACGTCGCCGTGCGCTGCAAGGAGGCCAGGGATGGGCCGCAGCCCGGACACCAGCAGATTCTCAGGCAGCAGGTGGAAGATGGGCTCCAGGGCTGGGTGTGGCCGCAGCGTGTAGCGCAGGCTGCAGTTCTCGATGAGGGTCATGTGCTTGTTTTCTGCAGGAAGAGCACCAACGCGATGGCTGAGACCGCAGGCACAGCCGAGAAACAGAAATTCGAGCAGCACCACCAAGAGGAAGCACATTTTTCTAAGGAGAGTGGGGAATTGCTCCATCATTCAACTGAAAAGTGAGAGGAATCGATCCTCAAGAATTTCTCCAAGAAAATGCACCAACAACTGTTCGGCTGATTTCTGTTTCTATGTGCTCGTTTATTTTTTGAGACCGGGATTGCTACATTGCCCAGGCTGGCCCCAAACTCCCAACCCAAGCGATCCTCCTGCTCAGCCTCAGGAGTGGGTTGGAGTGCAGGCACGTGCCACCACATCTGGCAGCCACAAGAACAATCTCTAAGCCAACACAGCAAGTCTCTCCACCAAAGGCCAGGTTTGGGGCTGCGCTATTGCCTTAGGAGACCTGAGATCAGAGAGAGGTGGGTGACACTTTGGCCCCACACAGCCTTCCCCTTGGTCTCAGCCCTGAGACCATCAAGCCATGCCAAGGACAAGATGCCTGGAGGTGGCAGGTGGCACCAGAGAGGAGGCCCCATCCTCCAGGAGGGCCACTGTCCTGGACTGGCTGTGAGAGACCAGCTCACGGATCTCTAAACACCCAGGGCCCAGTCACGCAAATGTCTGGATACCTCATGGGGGACAGAGAGCAGGTCAAGTAGTCCCACAGCCCCGGCATGCAGCGTGCCCAGGGAAACCTAGCCCTGACCCTCTCACCACCTCTGCCAAATCTCACATGGGCCTGACTTCCTCCACTGAAGAGGACCTCACACCTTCCACACAGCGAAGGCTCACAGGCACCCAGAGTACGCATGCACACGGGGGAGGCACTCACTGAAGGAACTCAAAGCAAGGCAGTGGCACACAGCCGTGACAGAGTAAGGCCCTCTCTAGGACCTGCAGGAAGCATTCTGCAGGATGGATTCCTGGGAAAGTGAGGCGTGCGCCAGGAACAAAAGCAGGCAAGACAAGATTCAACAGGCACCCACTTTTGTACTGCAGGGGGAGCCAACGGGGCCCACGCAGCTCCCAGGGAGGCCATGCACATGGCGGGCAAGGCTGGGCAGAAGGGACCTCGCCCCGGACCTCTCTTATTTGTCTATACCCTGAGAGCTATGAATACTGGGAAGCTGCAGCCACTACCAGAAGATTCCCAGTGTCCATGGGGCAGACGGGGCTCTCTGTACACGTGGGCTCCGCACCCCGAGCAGGAACACAGACAGTGAACAGTGCCACGCCAGGGCAGGTAGGAGTCAGGCAGCCTCGTGCCCTGCTAACAGGCCCTGGTCCACGCACTCTTTTGAAGAGAAGGCCCTAGCAAGCCAAACTATATTCAGCTGTAAAAATGACCCAAACAGCAATCCTTGAAATAAAGTTAAGTTTCTGATTGTTCCCCTAGCTCAAATTTTTGAACAGGGCAGGGGAGATAGCTCAGTAAGATAAGCACTTGCCTGGCAAGCACAAGGTCCTGAGTTCAATCCCCAGTACAGCAAAAAAAAAAAAAAAAATTCAGGGGGAGGAGCTGGGCTATTTGAAAGCAGACCTAGGCCATGGGGCTGGCACAGCAGCCACCTCCCCAAGGACAGGGTCACCCTCCTGGGCAAACCTGCGCCTCCCCTCCAGGCAAGCTCAGCCTCCGCTCTGGTCCTCTGCCGTGTCCTTCCAGCACCCCAGCCCCATGCACCTCTCTGCCCCATCCTCTAGATAAGTGGCAGCAAGGGGCACACATCCTCCAGCCGCCCCCATCCCCATGTCCCTGGCTGCCCGCAAGGCACCAAGCAGAGGGATATGGCAGGAAGCCCCCTTGGCTCTGGAGCAGAGCTCCCCAAGGCGAGAACAGCGTGGTCCCCCACAGAATGTGCCCCAAAGGCAGGCACAGCTGCGAAAGCCTGGCAAGTGGGCAACAGCCAACGACATCCAGCCAGAGGCTCCTCTGGACGGTAACTGCCTTGTCTAGCGGGTAAAGCTCTCATCCAAGAGGTGGGAGGCCACCTCCTCTCCCAGTGGCTCCCAATGACCCATGCCCTTCCTCACAGATGCTGGCCCTCCTCTGGGGATGGTGTACTTCAGTTCTTCAAATTAGGCAAAACACCAGGCATGGTGGTACATTCCTATAATCCTTGTACTCAGGAGGCTGAGGCAGGAGGATCATTTCGAGTTCGAGGCCAGCCTGGGCTACAAAGTAAGCTCAATGCCAGGCTGACTACATAGCAAAACCCTGCCTCAAAAAGACAAATTAGACAAAACCCCAAGCCCACAACATGTCTGTCCAAGACGCTATCACAGAACAGGGTAAGCACTGAGGCGACAGGGTGACTACGGGGCTGGGCTGGGCACTTACGTTCTATGGGGTCCTGGAGAAGCGGGTGCAACAGGGCTCTAGGGGTGCCGTGATACAGCTTCAACCTGGAAAACAGGGCCGGGGCACTGTGTCAGCAGTCCGCACCCAGCACCACCACCAAGGCCGGCTGTGCATCTCGGCCCCCACCTCTGAGAACCTTCAGACGGAGGCCTGAGCAGAGTGCCAGCGGCCCCCGCCTGGGCTCTGCCTGTGCCAGGCATGGCTGGCAGGCTGCAGCCCAGGAAATGAGAGGCCAGACAGCACGGTCACGGGAACGTCAGCCACTCGGAAGTGTCCCCACAGGACATCCAAGGAATCGCCAAGCTGTCCAGCAGAAGCAAGCGTCTCACCCAGGTGGTTTCACCCCAGGGCACGTTCAGCAAGGCCTGGAGGGGGCTGGGTGTCACGGCTGGCCAGGGGAAGGCCAGTGCCGGGGCAGAGTCCCCAGCGTGAGAGCTGCGAGGGTGAGAAGCCCCACCTGCAGGAATAACACGAACTTTCACAAGCCTAAGGGCTCGCGCTGCACGTCATCCATCTGCACGGCCCGCTCACAGCACAGCCTGGCAGGTGATAGGCTCGGCCCCAGCTGCTGCGCGGAGCCGCTGCCCTCTGGCACCTGTATGTGAAGCCACACAACAGGAGGCTCACACAGCCCCACGAGATGCACACTGCGGCCTGGCATGCAGAGGTGAGGGAGTCCAGTGTCAGAGTTAAATGATCCCCCAGAGCCCTGCAGGATGATGGCAAAGTGGGAGTTTGTCCACACACACCCTGCATCCAGCACAACGCTGAGGCAAAGCCAGCGCTCACTCTAGCTTAAAGGAGGAGGCCTCTGCTGACTTAGAAGAGGTCAAACAAACAAACAAACACCCTACCGTTTGTCCTGGTTCGGAGAGGTCAGAGAGTCTGCCCTGCTGCTGAAGATCCGAAGGATTCCAAACCCACAGGACAAGGCCTGGAGAGTCCCACCTTGCTCCTTGCCTTCAGCAACTACTTCAACCACAGCCACGATGTTCGGGTGGTTTAAGGTTGTATGAAAGTAGAGGGGCTACAAAGCAGAAAGCAGAGCACAGTTTGAGGGGAGCCAGGCGGAAGCCCAGAATCCACAGCCTCTCGCCTGCCACCCTCCAATTTGCCACCTCAGCACCCAGGCACCACCCAGAGCCTGAGTGGAGCAGGAAAGGAAGGACCGGGAATGAAGGTGCAGCCTCTTGCTCCAAAGCCCCATGACATCCAGGCCACGGGATGTTCTGTCTCTGCTCCAGGGCTTGCAACTCTGGCATGGCCACCTCCACACTACCAGCAGACCCCTGGCCCTTGGGACAAGAAAGGCCGGGCCGGCAGTGTACCTGCCCCAGGACCAGGGACACCAGGCAGAACCACAGCCAGATCAGCCCAGGCCACACACAACCCGCACACCCTCCGCCCCAGCCTGAGCCAATGCTGGCTCACAATGCACCAACATCCACGACCGACGGGCTCCAGCCCAGCTGACCGTGCTGCAGCTAAGGTTCCCGGATCAGCTTAGGTGCCGAGCAGGGAGCACAGTCAGGGCTGTTCTGGAGGAAAAGCACCTCCCTATCACCTTAGGGGAAGCTAGACTAGGCAGAAGATATTCAAACTGATTTTCAGGTTTCTTTGTTTTGGGGACTTCTTTGTGGTATTGAGAACTTAACCGAGGGTCTCGCACACACTGCGCAAGCACTCCACCACTACACCACAGGCTAAGTGGCCTGGGCTGGCCTCAAACTTGCAGTCCCCCCACCTCAGCCTCACAAGTAGCGAGGAAGATAAGCATGCACCACCACACCCAGCTTCGAACACCTGCACCCTTTCTGTCCCCAACAAACAGAAGATCTCTGGGTCCCGCTGCCTGGGACGGCCGAGACGAGCCCTTCTCTGGTTTAACAGGCGCGCTCCCTTCGCTCTGCAGCTGCTTTCCTGCTTCCTAAACACAGTCACCTTCGTCCACACGGATCAAGGTGCAGGCACGGAGACAGCAGGGGAGGAACTGCTGGTGGGGTTTGCCAACCCCTGTGGCATCAGGGCCCACACGTGGCGCTGAGCTGGTCCCCAGGCTGAGCTGGAGGTGAGGTTGCTGCACAGCCACCCCCAGCAGAGCGAGGTGGGGCGGGGCCGGGGGCCGGGCTACTGCGCTGTGATTTAAACTCACGCAAACACTCCCGTTACAGAGTCATTACCATGGTGTCACGGCGAAAGTGCTTACTGTAATCACAGACTGTCAGCCCGGGATAACGGACAGACACATTAAAACATCAGCCACAAGATATAAATCGTTATTCTATTATCTTTTATTGCAAAATGATGAAATAATGGCCACTTTCAGCTGACAGGTGGTCGGGCTCAGAGAGAGTTATGTGTCTGTTTCTGAGACTGGGACCTATGTAAAAGCCCTCTGCGTGGCGACTTGGCCACCACCCCGCCTTCATATTTATACCTTGCACATCGCCTTTACGGGCACTGGCTGCTTCTGCCTCTGGCCATAAAACAAACGTTCTCAACTTGGACAGACGTGAAGCAACCAACCATCATCTCGCGACTTAGAGGTCACCTTGAAATAGCTCCACGGGAAGGCAGCAGGGCCCGCCCTTGGCAGGCCCCTAGTATGGATTTGCGGCTGCTGCCCTTCTCTTTCATTTGCCTCCAAGAACAATTACCCTGCGACCAGAATTTCCAGCCACAGAGCCCCCAGCTGCTCATCTCTCAGCAGCATGGGCTCGGAATCAGAACACACTTCATCAGCACAGCCAGCCCTTGCAGACACGAGGCGCGCCAAGGGCAGTTCAAGTCCAGCGCTGCTCTCGACCACTGAGGTCAGGCGCGCCTCCAGAGCTCATTCACTGACCCTGCAGAGCAGAAGCACCAGCATGCTGAAGAACTCATAAGGACTCCGGAAAATACAACCCAGCCTTGCAGAAGTTCAAGGCTCAAAGACTTCACAAAGGATGGATTAGGTGAATGCTACAGCGCAAATGCTGCTCAGGACCAGGCGGCTCTGGGGCCTGAGAAGGGAAGAGCTCCGGGGATGGAGACAGGCAGCTCACGTCCACGTGTACAAATGGGCTCCAGGAAACGCGGCCAGCTCTCGGGGAGCAACAGCTGTAAACAGGCCTTTCGGTCTAGAGAAATGTAATTACCACCAACACCCTACACTTGGGGAGGGAAATCCTATGCGTCGTCGACTGGGGCTGCAGGATTAAAAGCATAAGTCAAGCCATCAAATTACCTGAGGGAGAAGGTCACCTGAGACAGAAACAATGGCCGCTCACCCTGCCTCTCCCTGCGGCTGTACCTGACAAGCGCACTCCCCGACAGGGTCGACGCACTAACACATCTTGGAAATGCCCGTCTCCACACTCCCTCACCATCAGCTTCACCCACTTTCTGCTTCTCGCCAGAAGTAACGCGAGTGACGCTGGGCTCTGCCTCAGGGTCTTCAGGAGGAAGCTGCGCCGGGCAGCCCCGGCTCAGGCCACATGCCCTGTCATCTGCTGACAGGTGCCTACCAGGCCAGGAGGAGCCAAGCAAAAATTATACCAGCACCCCCAAGCTGCAGACCAAGATGAACCCCACCCTGGAGGAACAACATGAACTTTCACGGGCTGAAAGGCCCACACCCCACGTCACACGTTCCTGCGCATCCAGCTGCTGGTAGGTGACAGGTGTTCACCTACCTCTGCCGCACAGACCCCACTGCCACCCGGGCCGTGGGTGAGGCCACACTTCACACTCATGCTCCTGATGAGCTGCACACCACTACGCAGTGTACAGAGGAGGGAGTCCGGGGTCAGAGTTCAGGGCTCACCTGAAGCCCCACAGGACACTGTGACAGCACAAGGCTGGCCATGCGCATCCGCCCAACACTCATGCAAAGCCTGTCCTCACTATGGCCTAAAGCACGACTCCTCTGCTTACTCAGAGAAGCAGGTGAGCGCCCCAGACAGACCCAAAGCCAGAGAAGCACCCCTCAGCTCGCTCCTATGAACACACAACCCCAGCTTTCTATGCCCCCAAATGACCGGCAGGTGGCATTCAGCACTCGGTGAGGGCTGGCACTGGAACGCCACATAGAAGGTGTTCTCGGGCTTCACTTTGGGTCCAGGGCACTGGTGGGGGGCACAGCTGCAGACATGGGACATGCTGGAGAGGACGCCTGTTTTTGTGTCAGGTTGTGCCCTCCCTCGGGGCACAGGGCATGGGGGTGATGAACTTCAACTCCCAACTGGCAGATGAGCCAAGCTCAGCGGGGCTCAGGGAGGTCCACTCAGGTCACATGGTGTCCCGCACAGCACACACTTTGCAGGGCAAATTCCACGGCTCCTGTCACTCTGCTGAATAACAGCTGTGCCATACCCATGCTCCCCTCACTGTGGTTCTGGGAAGGGAAGCGACCCAAGGACCCATGTCCCTCACTGGTGAGGGCAGGGAGCCCCCCTCACCTGAGCAACACTGGGCTGCTGGGTGCTCAGGAAGGAGCCCTGTGCTGGGTCTGCGTATCGGGGCAGCCCCAGGAGCCCAGCCCAGAATACCCCTCAAATCAAGAGAAGGAAAAACCAAGCTGACCGGGAGACGCCAACAAGAGGGAGAATTCCGTCCCCTGAGAAGTGGGAGTGTAACAAGTGCACAGGGCTGTGGCCTCTGGGGTTATTTTCCAAGACACGTTGTTACAGACTGAATGAATTATGAACCTCTCGGAGGAAGGAGAAGGCAATTCCTCTCCACGAGAAGGTCTTAGAGAACGCAGAATTCTGGGCTCAAGGCTGAGACAGCTTCAGGGTCCTCACCTGGGGGCCCAGGCACTGTCCTTGGGCAACCATGGGAACCCATGGCCCACAGAAAAATACCAACTCGGCTTCCAGGCGAGACTTCCCCGTCTGAATCTTATTCAGGACCAGTGTTGTCTGCACAGCCACGAGACAGCACCTTTCTAAGGGCCGCGTCCACAGCAACAGCACGACAAAGCCCGAGCACACCGGGCAGGACCATGGCCCGCAGGGCTGGGGCGGCTCTCCTGGCCCTGCCGCCGTCAGCTTCCCGACCTCAAATCTGACCACCAAGCTGCTGCTGTGGGGAAGGCAGGAAAGCACTTGCAAATCACATAGCCACCTCTCAAAGACAAATGGAACTCACTTCTCCCTCCCGCCGCTCAGCCCTGGAGGCCACCACCACCCCACACCTGCAGCCGAGTGCTCATCGTGCCCCGCTTTTCCACCACATGTGCATTTTCACAAGCATACTAGCACACGCATGTGCTGCACGCACACCACCAAGGGGGATTCTCCATGCCTGAGGAAACGGGAAGAAGGCCCGTTCTGCACGCTTAACATGGAGGAGCTGGGAGGAAACGCCCAGCACAGAAGCCTCTGCCCAGCAGCCATCAGGATGGACCCGTGCCTGGGCCGCCAGTGGCCTCTGCTGCTCACCATGGGCATAGCAGCCAGGGCCAGGCCGCGTCCCAGAGAGGCAGCCGAGGCAGCCCCTCGCCCTGCACCCCCATGCTAACCCTGCTGCACCCCTGCTGCAATGGCTCCAGGCTTCAGGATGCAGAATTCCCCAGAGACATCACACTTTCCCTCGGCCCCCAAATCTGCCCACCAAGGGGGTCACCCCTGGCCGAAGTAGTGCCCCTGCTGCCCAGGCTACAGTCCGGCCACCTCCACAGGCATCACAGGCTCAGAATGAGGGGACGGACACAAGGCCTAGGGCTCTCCACCAGCAGGGGGGCAGTGAAACCTGACATGTAGCTCCATTTTGGGGACTACAGGCGTCCTTGGTAGCAGGAATGTGACCCCAGGCAAGGGCACAGCGTGGCCTCAGCAGCCTGCCCCTGCTTGCCCACTCGGGAACCCCAGGTATCAGGAGACAGAGGCTCCGCTGCTGACCTAAGGCCAGGACTGCTTTGGGTCGTGGGCACCCCCAGGGAGCACAGGGCAGAGGCTGCAGGTCAGGGATAGTCCCGCCTGCTCTCTAATAGGATGGTGGACATAATGTGATGAGGGAGGAGCCGATGAGAAGGCTCCAGGATCATGTACTCCGTCCTGACGTGCCACCGGCATCCCTGATGGCAAAGTCAGGGCCACTAATCCTGGGGCCCAGAGCACAGCAGACAGGACCAGACAAGAGACCCCTGCACACGGCACAGCTGTGTGGGCAGCGCCCCATGGGTTTAACTACTGAGCCCTCCACCATCACCCTGCAACCAACAGGAGAATCTGTCCCCAGGAACCTCAGTTTTCTCCTCTTTAAAATGGGGACACAGGCCTTTCGGTCCTCTTCTGCGTGAGAGCAGACTGGGGGGCCCTGAGCTCAGTAATAAACGGCTTTCCAAATTCCAATCTGGTTGATCTGGTTCCTATTCTGAGTGACCCATAACATTTGGGGGCTCGTCCAGGATCCCCTTTACTGGGGATCAATCTGAGGAACCAAAGTTTTCAGAAACCACTTCCCAAGGGGAGACTTTCTGGCCCCAGGGTGGTCTCCGAAAGCTTACAAATTTCATCATTCGAGCCTCTGAGCCATCTGTAAGTTCTTACCGGATTTCAGACGATGACCATCAGAGTACAGAGACTCTGCGTCCCCCAGAAAACTTTGGACCTTCTCCAAATTGGAAAGGCCCTCCTTCTCCTAGGCTGCTTGGTCTCTGCAGGGCTCTTTTAAACTTTCTTTTGCTTACCAAGCTTAGACAGTCATCTTTGGAAATCTGGGACACCCTGACCAGCTCCCTTACATTCAGGCTTGGATTGATCTTGCCCATGAACCTCTGAAATGACTCAAGGATTGCTGTTCAAGATGCTGTTCCCGGAGGACCGGCCAGTCCCACATGGTCGCACTGGCAGTCCCAACTGATGAGAAGCGGCTGTGACCCCGACCATCACCTTCAGAACCCGCTTATCCTGCCTGCTACCTGGTACACAGATAAATTCATTATGCGGTTGTTAAAATATTGGTCAAAATGTATTGGTAAATCTAAGCTAAAACATGGAAATGTTATAAGGTTATGATGCTTCTTTAATGGGACATTTTACGACTTTTGTATTTGTATGTGTTGCATTCAAACTGGTTACTAAACGTACTGATATTCCTTGCTTGACTTTTTAGACAGCACTAGAAAAAATGTTTGTAAGCTTCTGGTGAATTTTATGTAAATTTCTGAAAAATGGGATTTTTAAAACTAGTACAGACTTAGAACATATACATGCCTGTAAAACATGTGACTCCTTTTGCCAGCTAAATGACATTAGGTCAACAATGGTTCTTGACTACTGAAAGATCTCTACTGACCTATTGCACCTTTCCCCTTCTCTTTCTGCCAGTAAACTAAAAAATTCTACCTGAAAAAAATAAATAAATAAAATAAAATAAAATGGGGACACAAAAGGAGATCGAGGATGATATCATGTGTGTATGTGCCAACACCTGGTCCATCCGAGTCCCTCCGCAGGACAGGACAGCTTCGGTCACTCCGACACTGTTGTTAACAAGCTCTGTTCCCTGGGTTCATCCTGCTCCCCAAGAAAGAAAATCAAGAAAGCACCACATGGGGCCACAGAAGCTGCTCACAGCCACCAGCTGTATCACTGTCCTGGGACACAGGACACAGCTGGGGTGTGGGAGGCACAGTGATGGTCTCCTCAGGTCACAGAGAGTCACCGCGATTTGCAACATCCTCACCCAGCAGGCCAGCAGGGGCGGCTGCGAGGGGCCTGCCAACCCTTTAGCTCCGCGACAGCACCTGCCCAGGCCCAGAGTACTCTTCTGACCTCTGGGAGCGACCGGCACTGTCACAGAACAGCCTCGGATGGGTCCACACCAAGGGACTTGCTCCCAGGGCTGGGTGACAGCCAAGTGCTGGGAGCAGTGTGTTCACAGCCAGCCTGAGACTCACTCAGTCGCCTGGAGCTGGGATGGCGAAGTTGGCTGTGGTCACCACTACCACCCGTGACACCAGGATTCCCTGTCCTGGCTCTGGACCCCTGAAAAAAATAAAACCAATAGAGCCCAGTCCCTGGATCCCTGAGACTGTCCCCTGCAGGGATCAAATCTTTGTGCTCTCCCCACTCAAATTCAGATGTAAACCAGGAGCAGGGACGGTGGCAAACGTCGCTCACCCCAGCACTCAGGAGGCTGAGGCAAGAGGATCACTGTGAGTTCAAGGCCCC